TTGAAGAGCAAACCACCATTCTATGTAGGGAGCTTGATTCTTAGGTCTATGTGTTGATCGGAGACTATACTTACAACCTATTTTTATCATCTAATGGTATAGCTAGCTAGCTAGCTACTAATGTTAACAAGTAACCATTCTGTTAGCCATCAACTAGAAAATGCCCTTATTTCTACTTAATACCATGTCTATATGCTTGATTAGTGTGAATAGAAGAAGCAAACAGAGGAGGAGGAGGAAGATGAAAAGAGAAAAGCGTTTATCAAGTAAATATTTATTTTTAGAAACATGGAATTTTATTAGTTACATGGGTTAAGAAAATATACAATTATGTTTTAGAGTAGGTCCATAGGTGCAAACTCTTAACTGTGTGACAGCCCACCCCCATACCCTTGCTAACTATGCAAGAAATGTTTACCTCACACGAGTAAGCACATTTGTTTGAACCCCATTCCTAACTAGAGAATCGACAATTGACTGAACTTGTAACCTAATGTAACACGTAGTTTCTTAAGATTGCTTGTGATCTTGATTCCTTTGAGAGATGTTCATCAAGTGGACACACACACACACACACACATACTAGGAGTGATGCATGGTTGAGTTTAAATAACCATATGTTCAATTTAATGTTTAATATATATATAGATACACACACATGAGGGAAATTAGAATAGGATGGTCCATTTACATGCTGAGAAGACATAGTACCGGTGAGAAGTGATTTGTTGTAAGTTGAAGGGTCTAGATGAAATAAGGTAGGCTAAAAAGGATAGGGATTGAAGTAGTGTGAAATGATTTGAGGGTCCATTGTCTAACAAGGGATATGATGCTGAATAGAGTGGTGTTGTTGAACAAGATTAATGTAGCCAACTTGGACCTGTATAGTTGGGATGATGCTTAGTTAAGTTGAGTTTGACATAAATCATGGCTCTTGATACTAGACAATGGTGGATTAAGATCCATGTAGCTGACCTCAAATGGCTATCTACCAAAAAAAATTGGAGATCCCAAATAGTTTAGACTTTAGACTAAGATTGAGTTGAAAAGGACACCTTTTTTCTGTAAGCTTCCAAACTTGATTGAGTTGATATGTGTTTCCAAAGTGTTACATTTCCCAGTCTTCTTTTTATTAAGGGTTTCCAACTTATGATTTGATCATTGAAATTCCATAGGTACTTTAGAATTTGATTCAGTTGTAGCCCTTACCTTAAAATGGGCTTATGGCTTTCAATTAAAGAATTCAATGTTATGGTTACTTTTAATTAATGCTTATCATTAATTTCATTTTGATATTTTATGTGATCTTAGGGTAGGAAAAATCGATTAATCCTTGTTATTTATAGGTGCTTCCAACAATTGTGAAACTCTTTGCCTCCAATAATGGAGCTATTTGAGTAGGCCATCTACAACGCATAGAGCAATTTGGTGAATTATTATCAACTCAAGTTGTAAATGCAATTATGGGGTTTTTGCTGACAAATTTTTTTCATAGCATTAATCTAACTATAGTTTCATCAGATTTAGATGTAGAGTCTCCTGATAGATATTCCACATTAATTATTTACTGTTAGATTGGAAATTCTAGATTGCTTGGGTAATGCTTGTGATTAAGTATATCCTCATGTTGTCGTTAGGTTTTCTGATACTATGCTTTTCTTCAGGAATTAACATTAAAGTCTATGTTCCCCCTTGCTCCCAAGGTATGTGTATTTTTTACTTGCTAGTTTTTTTTTTTTAAGCCATAAATTCTTTAGAAAGACATTTCAACACCATGGTAGATTTTCTGATGAAGAACAAATTTGAAGTGGTACTATAAAAAATGTTGAACTAAGTTTTTCTATTTTAGGCGATTTTGAACTTTAAAATGTGTTAGAGTTCCATAGGTTAATAATTAGCAATAGTTTGTATGCAATCTATTTCTATAGTTTGTCTTCCAACTATGGTAACCCGTAGCTAATATTCTCTTTTAGTAGTTTGTCTTCTAACTACTATATAGTACTATACAATTATCTTATGTTATATCAATGGCTTGATAACCAATCAGTTATTTTATAACATGTTACAATAATGGTGTAATATAACAATGCTTCTATATAATAACCGTTTTTAGAAGTTTGTTGTAGCAATGGTTTTATATGATAATCATTGTTAGAAGTGAGTTTTAGCAATGATTTTCATGGTTTATCATTGCTATAGGTATTATGTAGCAACGGTTGTCATGATGAATTGTTGCTAAACTAAAAGTATTATGTAACAACGGTTTTCATGATGGGCTATTGTTATAGGTATTATGTAGTGACGATTTCCATGATGAACCACTGCAATAGGTATTGTGTAGCAACAATTTTCATGATGAATTGTTACAATAGGTATTATGTAACAACAATTTACATGATGAACCGTTGCGATAGGTATTATGTAGCAACGAATTTCTTGATGAACCGTTGCAATAAGTATTATATAGCAATAGTTTTTTTGATGAATTGTTGTGATAGGCATTATGTAGCAATGGTTTTCATGAAGAATTGTTGCGATAGATATTATATAGCAACAATTTTCATAATTAACCATTGCTATATGTATTATGTCACAACTGTTTTAATGATGAACCGTTGTTAAACATATAATTTAGCTACAGTTTTAAAAAATAATTGTGGCAATAAAAACATCAATTTTTCTTTTTTGTAATGTTTTAGCCACGGTTTTGTCCGTTGCTAAACTTGCTATGGCTGCTTTTGCAACAGTTTTATAATGTTATTGCAACGAACTATATGTGTTGCTGAATGATATCTTTAACAACAGTTTCATAAAAACCGTTGCAATAACTTATTGCCACGGTAGAAGAGGCATCGTTTTGTGTCTATTACTAGTCCATTGCAGTAAGTCTCTAACAATGGTTTTGGGGGCTTCTAGCAACGGATTTGTCAGTTGCTAAAAGTTCATTTTCTTGTAGTGGGGATACAAATAACCCTTGCGATGGATGAGATTTATAACAGGAATTTGAATAAAAAGGAACCTTATGACATTGTTGAGTGTAGTCATTCATCATCGAAGCTTAAAAGTGATGTAAAAGGGGTTCTATATATGATGCCCATTACTCCAACTTCTATCTATGATACCAAGCCTTAGTCATCAGTCTCAACTGTGGTAAATGAAGTCTACTTTTGGGGGATGTCTTATTTACTTATTTTTTTAAACGGATGGAACAAGTTTCCTAGATGAAATACTTGAATTATATTTTCTCCTATTTTTTTTAAATAAATAACCTTAATTTTCTTGTTATTTCCATCAAAATAAATTAAAATTTTATGAAAAATAAAGTTATTTTACTATAAGACTCAGTTTGGAAAGAGTAGAAATATTTATAGTATAAATACATACAAAGTAATACAAAGTACAAATTTTTTCACTCCTTCCAAACTGAGCTGAATAAAAAAAAAAGACAAAAGTAATAACTGAACTTTTAGAAAATTGAACGTTCTCAAATAAGTAAAACATTAGCATTAGAAAATATTCATATATGATATCCGACCCAAGTCTGCTTTCTTCTAATCTGATGAACAGTGTCCAAAGTGGTAACACAGTAATACATTACTCTACGGAAAGTAATCCAATAAGGTCAGGAAGCAAACTCATGGGCATACCATTTCCTAAAGCACCTTTACCGTCTGTGTGTCTCAAGGCCCAAGCCCGCTCCTCAGATCGAGGTAGACATCTGACATCTCCCATACCATACGTGTATTCTTCAAAGACGTGCGATCCCACCCGTAAAAGGACAAAATTGGAACTTGTGTATCGATTATTGAAGGTGCCAAACTAGGGTTAGGGTTTCTAGGCATCGCACGAAATGATTGCAGAAACATAACACATATAATATTACTAATAGGTGTCCTTTACCCTACCCCCCCACCACACACAACAAAAAAAAAAAAATACTAATAGGGGTCGGAAGTCGGAACTCCCAACTGGGAAGGGATTCTATAGATCTACCCTCTTTTCTTTTTAAGGCCATCCATCCCTGTCCCTCCGCCCCTTTTTGCTTATACTCTTTGCAGAATTTCTTTTCCCTTTTATAATTCTTCCCGTCCTCCTAACAAGAAAAAAGAAATAGAGAACAATCAGGCAAGCAATTTAGAGCACCGAAAATGGCCCAGTCAAACTTTATATGAAACTTTTCTTGTATTGGGTGCTGGATTGAGACAAGCAAAGGCATAAATTAAAGAGACTGGTCTTTGGGGGCAAAGTGGTTTTGCTTATCTAACAGTCAATGACTTACTCTCTGAATTTTGTATTTCGTTTGAAAGGAAAGAAGGCTTGGAATAAGTGAAAGGAAGTGGAGCTGCAGGCTGCAGGGATCCAAAGAAGGTGTTTGAAGGATTTGATCAGATATCTACAGTAGGAAAGGTCAAAGGATTTTGTGCTCAGCAGGAGAATTAGCGAAAGGTCTGAAGGTCATGACCCCAAACCCATGACTTATTCGGTCAGTCTTCCTTATGTTTTTGTGTCATTGAAGACCCCCCCGACTCTTCCTCAGCTTGCTTTGCGTAACTGACAGTTTATCTAAACGAGAAATGAATTGGAGATAATCACTTCCAGCATGATAGCCTTTTTTTTCACCCTTAACATACTTTTTTGACAATAACAATGGTTATAATAATGATGATGACAAGGAATGAACGATGATTAATTTTTCAGGACAAAAATTATCATTTGGTGTCAGCTTCTTTTCTTTTTTGTTTTTTTTTTCTTTCCATTTTCTGAAAGTATTTCGTAAGTCGAGGTGTACATATTCACCATTAATGAGATCAAGCAAAGAAATCACTGGAGAGAGAGTAGACAATGAGCCAGCCTGAAACTTTAGAGAAAACTGAAGAAGATCTTTTTATCTTCTCTTTCTCCCTCGTAGTTTAATCGGTAATCTTTCAAGTTTCTACTACTACATTCATGTAACTGAAGGATCATAACGAGAAGCTAGGATAACAAATTTAGAAACTCTGAAGAAGAAATACTAAATAAGATAATGTGCATGACATAAACTTGCATTTTTTTTTTCACTCTAATCAAAACCAACCTGCATTCATGGCTGGGGAACAACAAAATACCGTATCGAACTTCTGTACAAAGTACCCATGACACACTCACTCAACTGTTAAGACTATCAGGCCCACGAGAAGAACAAGACAATCAAACAAGAGGATAAGGGCGAATAGAAAAAAAAAAAAAAGAAAGAAACAGTAGCTGAATCCGTTGAATGTGAACAAAGGATTTAACACGGAGAAGGAGGCATCAGATTCAACCCTAAGTCATCATTGGAAAGCATTAAACGAGCCTTGCTTGTGTCCATGCTCGTGGGAGGAGATGTGGGTTCCGGGTGCAATCTCTTTTTGGAATGAAGAGGCACGCCAAACAACTTTGTTCGACTGTTATTACTGTTGTTGTGGGGTTCTTGGAGAATCGTTGAAGAGGCGTTTGATGGAGCAGAAGAGTTGAAAGAACCCTTGGTATAGGAAGGTTGTTTTGGACTGGATGACTGGTAAAACCCAAGTAACTGGTGAAAAGGTTTTTGCACTATCGCCGTTGAAGGAGCGTTGGCAATCGAAGATGTTTGCTGGTTGGGCGTTCCAGGAGAAGGATTGCAGATGATAAGAGAAGAAGGATAAGAATTACTGGGCGCAACAGGTCTTACATGGTTCTGCACGAAGTAGATAATATCATTGTATAGCTTCTTCATGTGTGCGAGTTCCGACATTAGCATGGAGTTGCTCCTTCGGAGCCTCTCGTTATCTTCCGATAGGGCCGATACCGAGCTGCTGACGCAACCACCACCACCGTAAACAGAAGCTCCTCCTCTTGGAGACGAAAGCGGCGATGATTCACACCAATTTGCTTGTTCGTCCGAATCGGACGAAGAGATGCTAACCCGGCCAGGAAATGGAAAGAAACCAGGGCTACCAATAGCACCAGCAGCACCGATCGGCGAATGCGGGTGATGGTTGATGGAAACTTGGGGTTGAGATGTCTTTCTTCTATGGATCTCGCATAGCAAGTGTTTCTCTCCTTTTTTGAAGAACTCGTTGGCGAACTCCCATCGGTCTGGGACAATCTTCCTGAAACCCTATTTTCACAAAAGATCAAATCATACAAACCAACCAATAGCAGGAAATTAGTCAACAAAATGCTCAGAGAGAGAGAGAGAGAGAGAGAGAGAGAGAGAGAGATGAACATACGTAAGTATTGAGCTGGCGGACGAAGCTAGAGAAGTTGTTGTGCTTGAAATAGTTGGGGAGGAGGTCGCGAGCGAACTCGGGAGGACGCCAGACGACGAAGGTTGTTTCATCTTCACCCCAAGAGACGATGTGATCAGTGGTGGGATCGTCGACGAGTTGATAGGTTTTGGTGAGGAAGGGAGCTGGTACAGACTTATGCGAGTCTAATGAGAGTAAGATGCCTTCACAATTGTCTAACATAAGAGCCATGGGCGAAGAACCGATCCAAACTTGTCGTCTAAGAAGCTAGCTAGCTTGTAGAAAGAAAAGATTAAAAAAAAAAAAGCTGTAAAAGAAGAGAAAAGAAGGTTAGTTTGCAACAAGATACTGAGATAGAGCGATGGAGCAAGCGAGAGAGCTAGCTAGAGATGGTGATAGTACTCTGATCAGAGAGATAGAGAGAGACCCAGGTAAGGGAAGAGAAAATTGTGAGCTAGCTAGCTGGTGGTGGTGGGGTTTGATTGATGGGTAAGTGTGCGTGGGAGTGAAAAAATAAAATAATGCTGTAAAGAAGGGTAAGGGGAGATAGGTTATACGGCTGTTGTTTTTCTCCTCGATTTTGTAATGCGAGAATATGTGTCTGCCTGTCTACTAGGACTGTGAAAAAGAGGGGAGTTTCAAGACAAACCCGTGACTCACTGCTTCTCTCTCTCTCGTCCTCCGAGTTTCCAACACTGTATAGCCGAATGAAATGATTCATTTTTTAGCTGTTGCACAACGAGTTTGGATTTGAATCATGCATGAATATAAATCTCCTAAAAGGTTTTAGCTTATGAAGTATAAGGTTGATTAATGATCCAATTGTTTTAAAAGCTTGCAGCAGTCTATTTTCAGTCATTTATGCTTCCATTAATCCCTTCTAGCTTGTCTAAAAGAAATCCAACCAATCTTCGTCTTCGTATATATGCCTTGTATTCATTCATACACGTGAATGAATCAATTGTATTCTTGAAACCAGTTTGCGATTTAACCGGTAGAATAATTACCCTTTTTGACTCTAATTCTATATTTAATAAATAATATATACAGTATGTCTGTACTGTACTGTATACCATGGGCATGTACGATCAGGAGCCAAAATGGAAGATGAATAGATCAGATATTTGGGTTGGTGACTTTGGGAGGCATGACCTCATGGGCGTGGATTGGATTCATCACGTCAAACCAGTCTTCTCTTTTCATTTTGTAGCTTTCCCTTTTATCGTTCAACCCCCATTATCCTACAATCCCCACACTACCTATCTATCTATCTATCTATCTATATATATATATATATAAAAGGATACACATCGAACATCGTGATAACATTTAAAGCCTGCCCAAACGACATCCCTTCTCTTCTTCTTCTTCTTCTAATATTATTATTTTTTTCTTTCATACTTCAAACTTCAATATCATAATATTCATATCTACATATTCTCTCCAGCTCCTACCTTAGCTGACTACATGGGTTTACCTTTCTTTCCTAAGGAGGGCAGGCTCACCTGTAGCTGTAGGCTACTTCGCTCGGTTTGATTGGTCTTTTGGCTGATCAGGTGATTGAAGTGAATTATTGGAACTAAAAGTTTCCACATATATAACTGAAAAATGCAGCCTTTTCTTATTGTAATTATTCCATATATAAGAAAATAGAATATTTATTTAGCTCCCTTTTCTCCGTATGGAAAATGACATGGACGTGGTGGGGACATGAGATGAACCAGTGCGGAACAATAGGAAAATCTATCACTAATTATTTCCCAAAGATACCCATACTGATTATTCCGTTCAAGTCTATGCTACTAATTATTAGAAAGATTAAAAAAACCAAGTAAATTGTACTAGATCCATATGAAAAGGTTTTTCTAAGTGGGCCGTTCTGATTTCTTCTCTAGACGATGAAAGTTTTCTCCGGCAATCCAAAGTGTGCAAGAGATGAGCAACCTTTGGATTGTGTAGTGATCTTATCAATATACACTTCTGAGAAGGCTTGAATCACTCTAGCCTAGCCTGATAACCCAGCTTGTTACACCCCAATATACAGTACTTTAGCTTCTCAAACAAAACAAGAAACTTAATTAATATACGATGGGCCAATAAATACAAAGTTCCAGAAAGAAATGGAGAATTATTATATTGCAGAAACATTACATATATAGCAAGAGGGAGATAGAGACGTTACATCTGCATGTGACAGGCAATGTTTTAATTAGATGGATTTCTTAAAAAAAAAAAGGCAGAGAATATATTAGCATAACATGAAAAAGAAACAAATAATAATAAAAAAGGGGAAAATTTCCCATTAGTACATGTAGTTTGGGCCTAGTGCCACTTTGGTCCCCGAACTTAAATTTTTAAAACATGACAATCTAGTACTAAGTAGTTATTAATCAGTCGTTAAGTGGCATTTGAAAAAGACAAAAAATGCTCTTCAAGTATTATTTAATTTTCTTTATCAATCATCCAAACGTTAACAAAAAATTAATAGTCCCAAAATTTTGCCTTTTCCATTCAAGAAAGTTGGGGTTATGTTTGAGTGGGCATTATGGTGATCCCAACTTTCTTGAATAGAAGAGACAACGATTTAAGACTATTAATTTTGTCGATATTTGGATGGTTGATAAAAAAAAATTAGATGATACTCGAAGGACATTTATGTTTTTTTCAAATGCTACTTAGTTAACAGCATATATTGGACTGTCATATTTTGAAAATTCGGATACTAAATTATCACATTTTAAAATACGGAGACCAAAAATGACACTAAACCCAAAGTATAGGATACTAATAAAAAAATTTCCCTAAAAATAGTATTAGCCATGTGAGCTCCAAGTTCCAATTCCCGGTCTGATCCGGAAGCACCTTCTAAATCTTCTTTTCCTTACTCTTCTCCCCTTCTATTTTCTTCTCCCACCTTCTTTCACAGTTAGTTCGTCCTTGAGAGTTCACACACACACACCCCACCCCCACCCTGCCCCACTGCAATGATGCAGAGAGAGCCGCAGCGGCTGACAAGGAGACAGTCTTCTTGATGTGTTTTGTTTATACATCCTCGTGATCCTTGTTGTTTTCATATATAACATATTAACTCTCACCACCACTTCACCCCAAGATCATAATCAACATGCCTCATCTTGTGGCTGTGGATCCTGTACAAAGTTACAAATCCCCTCTATTTTCATTACTACATGCTATATTTGTATATAAATTAGTACGTGGCTTCACATCAAACCGTAGCTTGAGATCTTGACCATCGATTATTCAATTTATCCTCAATCAATATAATGTCCCATGGTATCATGGTTCATCCTCTGAATTCAGATTAAAAGGCTCTAACCTTGCAGAAGAAGTGGGACCCCATGAATTGGAATACACTAGTGAAAAACGCGTATGCAACAGTACTACGTACCCAAATGGATTATTGATCAAGCGGTTAGTGTCATCCTATCCTAAATAGGTGGGTCAAGGGTATACGGAAATAGTATAGAACGTAATTGAACCCTAATCTCTTTCTATTTGTCCATCTGGTCAATATGGGATGGATGAGAGAGAAATTCTGAGAGCTGATCAGTGAGAGAGGCAGTGAGAGACAAAGGCCCAGAAGGCCAGAAATGACAATGCTTCACAGATCTTACAGAGCCCCACCAGAACAACACACATTCACTACTACCACCACCAACCCTACACAGCTGAGCTGAGTGAAAGGGCGAGAAGATTCTATTCTAATTTCTAAAATCCAGTGGAGGGTAGTGAAGTGAACCCACTTACCCTCTTCACATGACCACTGCCAATTTGCTTTTTCAAGTCTGAGAAATAAACAAGCAGATAAATACAAGATGAATTAATTTGTAGTAAAAGAAGGAAAAAACAAAGAAAAGAAAAATCCAAACGAGACTTTCGAGGAGGGACATCTTGAAACACAGAGATGATACGGAGAAAAAACGATTTAAAAGGGAAAAAAAAAAGAAAGAGAATAAAAATATGACTCACCTCTGAGGAGTGAGGAGTGAGGACTGAGGATTCCATATTTATATTAATAATTAATAATCTAGAAATATCACTTGGAAAGGAATCAATCTCTTTATTTTACGAGACAAGCTACAAGGTTCTTTCTTCTGTCTCTTCTCAAACTCTCTTTTGTCTCTTCCTCTGTCTGACCCCCTCTCCCTGTGCACGGCGAGAAACACAAACATCCACATTATTTTATATATATTGTATACCTTCTTATATTGCTTACACAGACACGCAAACTGACATTTTCATCTCACTCTTCAGTCTTCACTCTTTGGGTTTGGGGGCCTGCTGGGCTAGTGGGCTGGGGAGGGTGTCGGTCAAACAAACAAGTTCGATGATTCGATCTCCTCTGCTCCACACGGTGTTTTTGTTTTTTCGGCAGAAACATCAAACACGGTTGTATCTTGTATGGAATTGAAAGTTGAAACAAATAGTTATGGGTCACGAGGAGAGGAGATGGCATCTTGATATAAATCGACCGGACAAGAGGTCCGTTTGTCTATCGACTACGTGACTAAACTTACCTCCTCAGTTGTTCCTATTTGACACCTCTGTCCTCCTAGCCTACGATAAATTGAGTAACTGTTGTTTCATGGATACACATACGTACACCATTCTTTTCCAGGAGATTCGCTGCACCCAGAAAAGCGAATGAACAGATGCCAATCTTTTTTGTTTCATTTTCTTCTTTGGGTTTCGAGAACTGTCTAACCCGGATCCGATCTCTTACTGACACGTGGAGAACGCTGGTAATAATTAAGCCTTCCGGCTTCCCAGTCCCATATCATGTGTGTTGGAGTTAGTGGGTCGGGATGTCGGGTGGGTCAATAATTGGAGACCGGATCTACTCCTCTCACACCAGGTGTCTTTCACATGCACATCCTACTGGGAACATCTTCTGTATTTATTAATTATTATTTATGGGAGATGTTTTCAATCCACGGTGGATATGCATGTGAGGCGCCCATTTGTGAGGAACAGATATCGTCTCTAATAATTGTCACATTAGACACCACAAAATGGAACGGGATCTACTCCTCACACAGGGGTGCCTCACATGCACATCTATCGTCCCGAACATCTCCCCTGAATAATAACTTATAATTATGGGAGATATTCTCAATGCATGGTAGAGTGTGCGTGTGAAGCACCCTGTGTGAAGAGCAGATCTGGTCTCCCACAAAACACTCTAACAGTTGAATCCTTCAGTTTGAACGGTTCTTTATATAGTATCAAAACTGTTTGATCAAATGGTGTAGTGTTCCATCTTTGTCGTCTTTATTATTATAATTAATAAATTTTTGTACAAGGTATGAATGGGCCTCTACTTGACTTTGTTTCAACCCAATAGATTTTAATTTCTGGTATCACAGGAAAAAAACCTATTCAGGAATCTCTCTTAATAATTTAAGCTTTTAGAGGTTGAATGTTTTTTTTTTTTTTGACAGTATTCACTTGGCATGCATTTAATCAATTATAATGGGGCTTGGAGAGTTGGAGGATAGAAGGGGTTATTTTTTCTCGATAATCACTCGATATGTTTAGAACTTTAAAATTTAGATATACTGATCAATCATGCATGATGGGGATCAATTGAATAGCTCAAATCTTGTCACTTGTAGCTTGTTTTGTTAATTTAAAGTTAAACTAAAAGGTGACAGTAAATTTCATGGGAAACAT